TTTTGAAGAAAAGTATCCCCATAGAGGTGAGTCAGTTTAACACGTAGATAGGTCGCGAAAGCCTACGTGTTCGACTACAGCTTTACGAAATTAATTGTTCCATGCCCATACCTGTCAACCCATACGGTTTACCCGTATTCTTGTCGACGGAAATTGAGTTTTAAGGAACATGCGGCGTATAGCCGTTTCAATCGGGCAACAAAAATTGTCTGTTTGTTTGTGTTTCTCCCTTGTGATGGGACTTTGTAGGTTGAACGTTGAGATTGATAAGAACATGGGGTGACCAATAAGGTCTGCATTGGTCTGTAATAAGATAGGCACTGATAAGGGATTGACAGGTAGGCATGCCTACATATACACCCCATACTGTAACTGCATTATGAAGCAAAACTCCAAAAATGAACAATCCAATAAATCCGCAAATAGAATTCGTGGATCCCCACGGTTCGTGACCACTACCGTAATCCGTGGCGATGGAGATCAAAACAATGAGGCAACCCGCGGATTTTGGATCTTTTCCAGGAACGGCTAATATTTTTTAAGTGCAGCGAGCTGAGTGAGATGAAGGTGTTCAGGAATTTCTCTTAAGAGTGCTTTTGCAAAGATGGTTAGGAAAGTGCTGCCCCCCCCCCCCCCTGTGTGGAACAAATGCCCCTTGAAGGAATCTCATAGGGAGCTCTGTGATATCTGCTTCAGTTGGCCGTTCTCTCCACTGGTCTGGGAGAGATCCACGTATGTTATTCGTCATGACATGACGCCGATGTCACAATCAAGATAAAATTGTGAAAGGATGTAATGAGTGCTTTGGCAGAAATGTGTTTATTATATTATATACTTTACGTATCTATGTTGAACTTCTTTCGTAACGTACGTAGCCAAACGTGCTAATCGGAGATGTGCTGGAAGGACAACAAATAAATGCGAAATTACTTAATCTGCAAGTGAAATTCACGTAAAAAAATCCATTCAGTGTTTGAGCTCTCAATTTAAAATGATAAATTAGAAATGATTATAATAATCATCATCATAATCATCCACGATCTACATTGATACATGTCTATCTGTCCAAGCTGTTGCCATAGCTGGTACTCATGCATAGCAACACTCCACACAGACCCTGTATATGAACTCAACTAATTGCTACATCTTTATCGTGGACTAGCTGTACTACCCGGCTTCGCCCGGGACTTGTATCCACCACGGCCGGCCGCCTTTGTCTCCCCAGTGGCGATGTTAATACGCCACACCAGTTACTCGTTTTGCGGCTGAGTCCCTCCCTCACCTATCTCCCTCCCTCAGCACTCTCCCTCCCTCACCACTCTCCCTCCCTCACCACTCTCCCTCCCTCACCACTCACACACGGCCGCCTTTGTCTCCCCAGTGGCGATGTTAATACGCCACACCAGTTACTCGTTTGAGGCTGAGTCGACCTAGGGGAGGTTCAAATAATCGTCACCGGTGGTGGCCGTGAGCGGGAATGGAACTCGGTTCGCCGGGTTGGTAGCGCAGCGTAGCGTTAACCACTACACCCACCGCTCCTCACACACCACACACGCACAGACACACACACAGACACAGACACACGCAGACACACACAGACAGACACACACACACAGACACACAGACAGCACGCTAACCACTACACTACCGCTCCCCACACACCACACACGCACACACACAGACACACACACAGACACACACACACATACATACACACACATACACACAAACACATACACACACATACACACACATACATACACAGAGACATACACATACACACAAACACACACATATATACAAACACATACACAATACACACACACATACATGCAGACACACAGACAGACACATAACACACATACATACACACACATACATACACAGAAACACATACACACACATACATACAAACAAACATACATACACACAAACACACACGTACATACACACATACATACAGACACGCAGACATACACATAAACACATAAAAAAAACCGACATACATACACACACACATACAAATACACAAACACATACACACACATACATACACACATACATAAAGACACACAGACATACACATAAACACATACACACATAGACATGACCCGGCTTCGCCCGGGACTTGGATCCACCACGCCCGGCCGCCTTTTGTCTCCCCAGTGCCGATGTGAAAACGGCACACCAGTTACTCGTTTTGAGGCTGAGTCCCTCCCTCGCCACTCTCCCTCCCTCGCCACTCTCCTTCCCTCACGACTCTGTAGAGGACGTGAAACGTTTATGAATTTACCTTAGATTCGCGTGGTGGGTGTCGAGGCCTAGCACCGTGCAGAGCCTACCGCCTCGCCTGATTTTCCCACCCGGCTGACGCTGGGTACGGGTGCCGGTCCCCCCCCCTAGCGCTCGAACAATACTGAGTAATGGCTATTATTTAATTATTTACGGAGCCTATGAAAGTGGCGAAGGCGTGGCTAGCCGTTGGCAGGGGTGAACCGCCGTCCAATGAAACTGCAGCCCTTGGCGAAGGCGTCGCTAGCCGTTGCCAGGTCCAATGAAAGCGGCGAAGGCGTCGCTAGCCGTTGCCAGGGGCAACCGCCGTCCAATGAAAGTGCGTATGGTCCGAAATCCACACACAGACAGACAGACATTCACGATTTTATATATATAGATGTCCTCTCGGGCGTGTTCCCTTCCTCGGTTGCCACTTTACCGAAAGTCATTTCTACAAAGATTATGCGAACATGTTGGCCCTGATGTGGTTGTGGCTTTGCTTGATCCAGCCCCAGTCTTGCATCCGTACATCGATCCTGGCCCTTGCCTGCGAGCTGGGCGACACTGTTTGCTGCTGTCCCAGCTGCCCACGGAGTGGCTGGTGGCTCCTCCGTCTCCTCCCAGCGCAGGCGGCCGCTCCCCTCTCCTCCCAAGCGCTGCCCTCGACTCCCTCCCCTGAGACGCGGGGCAGAGGCAACAACAGAGACAGCGACACTCGCTGTTTGAGACCTCGCACTCCTGACCAACGATATCAAGCATTGCCCTTCACCACCAATAATGTAAACGTACATGAGGTAAAGGGGTAGCCCTCACAAGTACTTGTCCACTGCTAGCAGACAGCTCCTCTAGAGAGTAAATTGGCCGCCGGTTTTGTTTTCGTGCCATTTCTTAATGTTTTAAAATAATTTCTTTATGTGTTTTGCTTGGTAGTTGGGGTTTCATTTGCTTGGTACTGGCTGTATATGGGATTTGGTCCTCATATATATAATTAATGTACAGCGTTATGTGATGCTATTAGCATGAATGAGGCTTTATAACATTTAAGTATTATTATTACTCTTTCACGATGGCCAGATGTCCCACGCTTTAGCTCACCCCATGTGACCGATTGACTGTTGTGTAACCATTTACATTGCTGGGTGGACCAAGGGGATATTTTAAAACGTCTTCATTATTTACACTCGAACGCTGACGGTTTGAAACCGGCGAGCTCTTGATTGCAAGTCATGTAAAAACACTACACAAGGGTAGAATGCACGTTTGGCAAGACTTACAGGGTGATTGCAGTTTGACGCTTGTTTGACCGAGATCTTCAAATGGTGAGATATCTTGATGTACTCGCATGTATACGTACACAAACACTTGTCAGTACACTGCAGGATGAGGGCCACTATCACAGGTAACCTGGTGCCTCAGAGATCAGAGTTTTGAGCCGGCACCGCCAAGATCCTGAGTGAATATTTACGTTGCGGCTGCCCATGACTATATCGGCCACTTTATTAATATGCACACTTCAGTGACTTCTGTCACTGCACGGGGACATAAAAGGGACAGAAGTGAATGAGTGTGGTAATAATATAAACACAAGTTTTGCCAGGTTGAAATTAATTCCTTGAAGTACCAAATTAGAGTGGCTAAGATGCGTACAGTCACAATAAATATTGTTGGGCAGTTTCCAAGCAGAAGGCCTGATATGGCCTTGTGTCGCATCAAATTAAGTTGCGGGCTGGGTCGTAGGTTCCTCATCCCTTGCCCAAATGAAGACTTAAGCTCAACACTGGAACTCTTATTGCACGCATGCTTGTAAACAAACACCTTTACAAACTGTACCTTCAGATATCTCCATTTTGATGTTGTGAGCCATGCCATTGTGTTAAACCATTGGCCTGTTCCACAAATAAGCATTTCAAACAAATAAATAGAAAATTACCATTGTGTTAAACCATTGGCTTGTTCCACAAATAAGCATTTCAAACAAAATTAATGACCTTCAAAATTATACTCCAGTATATACTATGAATTGTCACTGCGAGGTTTGCTACTTGCAGAATTGCCCATCTGGTGAAAAGATTGCGCTGTGCCAGACAGGCGGTTGTAGTCGTATTCACCATAGTTTTCCATTTGTGTTGGCGAGCAGTGTTCAGCGTTGGTAAACACGTTGGTGGCATCTAAAGCAATAGCACAAAATCCACCGTGAACCCAAATTAATTGTATGATTTTGAAAACAGGTGTATGGGGAATTATTGCAAATGGTAGGGGAACTGTATTGTTCCGTTCAATACCAACACGAACACTTGCAGGGCAGGGTACGGAGACTTCTTTTTTTACTTCAGCCTCTTCTTCCCCCACCAATATTTATCTTTTTGTGTTTCACCCAATTCCCTAATCCCCCTTATCGCGCGTTTCTTTAACCACGTCTCTGGGCGTGATCCATTGTCCCTTGCGTGACTTGGCCGTGTCCCCAGATGACCTCTACACATTTACACGTTCCATATCATATTTTATCATTTTAATAAGGCATTGTAAATTCAAAATATATTAACTGTGGTGGGGTGGGGGCATGAACTTAAGAAAACTAAGCAAAAAAACACGTTTTTGTAATGAAAAGATGTGTTTAGAGGGACGTCACAAGGTGACTTGCATGGTATTCAGCTCACATTTTCAACAAATGAAACAGTACAGTATTTGCATGCAGGTACTACATTCCAGGTTGGCCACTAGTCTAGCTTCATACCTTGTCACGCAACAGTGGAAGGAAGCTGCAGAGGACCTGCGTTGCAATGTTTCTTGTTTAATGATTGCTATTAGTCTATAAACCTGCAGAGTAAGTTTATCTCAGACTACATGTACTTGTACTTTTGATAGACAGCGACAATGTTTAAGAGTTAAGTGTTTTACACTCATGGCCACGGGTGGTCCAGCTGGGGGTTTTCTGTACAAATGTTCAACGGCCACAAGGCATATGCGCTTTATTTTACAGTGACGTTCTCTTAAGCAACGCTGCATAACAGCGATATTCATCGTTAGGTTCGTGCTCCAGTAACACCATTTTGACACCAAGCTTGTAACGATGCAGCCAAAGCAAGTGACAGCAATGGCGCTGATCTCTGGCATCATCTTTCTTACGTTCATCTCAATGGTAAGTGTGTAATACAGTTTATACCCACTACGAGAAGACGCTTTCTGCTCCTCAGCTGCTCCTAATCTCTTTTGTTATCAAACATTGCCTCCCATCATCTCTCCAAGCCTCCGATCACCATTGACATAAATCCGATTGCAAGTGTCGCTATTTCCCTTCTGCTGCCCAAATGGTATTTTCTCTCTCAACTACCCGTGATTGTTCTCTATTGCTTCTCAGTGGCGCTCAGAAAATGGGAGGTTGCCACTTATATAAATATCAAAAAAATACACGATGTGAGGTCTTTCATTCTCGTTGGATGCTCCTTCAGTTTCGGCTAGCCTGTTTCTTGCCGTTAATGTTACAGATGTTTTAACTATTTAAGAACTAAATATTTCTATCTTCACTATTGTGTTTAATTGCATTACACATCTCTTTCACTGTCCATATGAATACTCTTAAGATATCATCCTAACCCGTGGGGCTCCGCAATCATCACAATGCAGGGCAAAACATAAATCTTGAGATAACACAGAATCTGAATATTTATTTATCTTGGAGGAATCCGATGAGCAATGAAGCTCTTTTTCACACATGTCCAGTACCTATAAGGCAGGTAACACGATCGAGAGTTAAATAAAATGTCTATGACTGATATAACATACGTAAAAAAAACGTAACAATAACTTTTAAAACCTAACAAAACCATAGAATCACAAACATTAGGATATTACATTGCTTTTGTATGTCAATGCTACATAGCAGGCTGTCGCACACCCTTTCAAGAAGCGGCAGCAAATCCATCGACAATGGAGCATATGAGTTTGTTTACGAGTGTCAAGATAGAACATCTGTCAAGCACAACTGGACATCATGTATCACTGACGTGTGTTAGGATATATATTGTGGAAAAGTCCAATAATGTTATTGTGCTTTATTCACAAAGCAGTCTTTCAACAACTGCCCTAATATTTGAGTTTGAGCTCCTCACATAGCCACGCTTTCGGCATTAACTTCTAGAGTTTGGCTTTTTTAGGTCCTTGGCTCTCTGATTTGGAACGTTGTGCCTGAAAACCTACTCTACCTGACCACTGAGATTCTCCCATTTCTAAAGAAACTAAAAACCTCCTTATTTCCTATGATGTGTTAATAAACTCGAGATATATTTTTCTGCAGCGCTCTGAAGCCCTTTGTTAAAACTGGTGCGGCTTAGAAAACGTCAAATAATAATCAACATAGAGTAATACCTCTGCTAATGAAAAAAATTAGTTCCATGACGTCACTTCCTTATCAGAAACTTTGTTACCAGAGGTAGATATAACAAAGGATGCATTGGGATGCGTTCCAAGACTTCAGAGAAGGCGGTACAATAGGATAACATGGCCGCACAATCGGCTTTACTTTGTCTGCTTGGTTTTAAAATGATCATTAAGGTGGACTGCGCTAGCCCTAACGAACGCACCTCCTTATGATCTGCATTTTCGTTTCCAAGGAGAGGGATTTACGTTGTACTTTTTGCCAAGTAAGGCAACTTGCATTCAACCAGGGGTCAACAACTTTTCAAGTAAGAAGAATAGCCATTCCTTTGGTTTTTGTCTTTGACCAAAATTGTTCGAGAGCCGCATCCCATGCAGAGCTACTTATACACAAACATAGCAGGTGACAAATTCTGACAAACAAAATATGATGGAATAAACTGCGTCTATTTAGTATGTGTCCCCCTGAGTTACTCTTTAACAATACTGGACATTTTGTCGTCACCAAGACATTCTATAGTGACGCATTCCCTGTCGTATTTAATACATCGCTAATTATCTTTGCATTAAATTACGTTTAAGATTTACTTTTTTTGTCAATAAACGGCTGCCCGCAAAGGGGCAGCCAAAGAGTTACAAGAGAGAAGCCAAAGAGCCGCATGTGGGCCCGGAGCCTCAGGTTACCGACCCCCTGCGCTAGATGGTCATTTGGATGATTTAATGTGGTAGTAATAAAATATTTTTGCCACTAGAAAAAAACGATCCAATTTTATCAACACGAGGACCTCGAGCTGTGGCGGGCCGGAGAGGGAGACTCTCGTAACTCTTTGTTGATTGGCTACTGATAATGTCATCAAACCCCACTCGGTTGAGTTCACAGGGCGCGATTGAAATGTCACTCTTTTGAATTGCTTTGCATGATTTCAGAATATATATTTGTTAATCTTTTTGCAAAAATATGGCGGTGAAGGGTCCCTCGACAGCCGACTTCGTTATAAAGGATCTTCGTTCCCAGAGGAGTCGTGAACAGATGTATTACTGTATACACTTTTCTATAAGGAAGTAATTGTGTTACACTTAATTAGATCTGTATAAAATATTAACACGTTGCATAATGCATGGTACAGTAATATATCATTGGTAGCAACATCATCAAATCAACATGAATATCAATATTAACATGATCGATATCATCCTCATCAACATTAGTTGGCCTATGGTCATAGCTGCAGCATTCACTTTTTGCTGCAGAGCCAAAACCCATGATCTGAATAATAGAGGTTTTTTGGGTTAGATCGTGTAAATATATGTGTCGTTAAACGCACCACCACCCGACACAGCCAAATAGTAAGGATTGTCACGTAAACAGAACATGCTAATTCGTCACTAGTGTAGAGGTGTAATTGCGCATGGCTACGAATGTTGTCGTGTGATTATGCATGGCCACGGATGGCCAACAAACACAAGGGGCGGGGTTACGGCCGTACACAAGGGTGGCGCTCGCACCGACGTCCGCATGTGCATCCCCCACGGGCCCCCCCTCGGGGGCGAGTCCTATAAAAGGTGATGAGCCAAAGGGCTCAGGAGTCGGGACTCAGCTTTAACCAGAGAAGAAGGAAGACCTGCTAGTATAGGCCCCGGAGCTCCCCTGGCTCGCTGTCCTTCTAAGGGCCGACCAGGGCAAGCCGGTGGCGTGGCCCCGAGAGCCCAGACGAAGCTGGTCTGGTGACTCAGGGAGCCGGGATCCCAGCTTAACCAAGCTGGGACAGATAGCCTCCCCTAGTCCCGTAGTGGAGGAGTTGGTATAGGTTAGAGGGGTTAGCTGTCGAGAAGTCCCTGTAGCCAAGTGACCTGTAATAACTGTGTTGGTGTAATAAATAAGTGTGCCTCCGATCCTGTCGTCAAAGCCTCCATATATACTTACTACATCTGGTGTCAGAAGTAAAACGTCCAACGATGGACACACGAGGGACGACACGTACCAGGGAGTCAGAGATGGAAGACGCCGGGGCCGAATCACCACCGGAGATGGCCGGGGTCGAATCGGAGCAGCCGGGGCCGAGTACGCCCGCGCCGCTACGACAGGAGGAGGGGGATGCGTCGGCCGAAGGACTCCAGCTGGCCCACTCCCGCCTGGCGGACCTGCTCTACGCCGCGGTCGCCGCGTTGGAGGAGATCACGCGGCTGGGGGCTGGAGGAGCAGCGCGGGTCGACGACGGCAGCCGACGCGGGGCGACGTTTCCCGCCACCCCGACGCGGCTCGCGGTCAAATTTCCCGCCATCTCTACAGTACGAGCGGTGGGCGGGGCCGGCCCGCGTCACGTGTCTGCTGAGCGCCAAGCACAAGCCGTGACATCATCAACGCCGGCCGGCGCGTCAACATCAGAGCGACCGGCGATGCCATGCTCACAGCCCGCCCACACTGTATCATCGGCGGGGAGCGACGGAGAGCGTTCTGCAGCCACGGACGCCGCCTTACAGCAGCGTCTGCCGCCTCTTAAAGAATTCGTCGGCGCTGACAGAGACTGGGGCGGCTTCAAGAGGCGGTTCATCGCTCATCAAGAGATGGCGAACTGGTCGGACGCCGAGGCTCTACGCGCGCTGCCAGCGATGCTGGACAACGACGCCCTGGCTACCCTCACCTCGGCGCCGAGGGAAAAGCGCGCCACTCTACACCTGGCGTTGCAGCTGCTGTCAGCCGTCTATGGGCCGCCTTCGGACTGCAGGCAGCTGTTCCACGATCGGCGTCGGGGCGCCAACGAATCACCCCTGGCCTTCCGGACGGCTCTCCTGGCCCTGGCGAAGGCTGCTTTTCCAAGGATGGACGAGGAAGGAGTGGATGCCATGGTGGCTGAGAAGCTGCTGCTACTCGCTGATGAGCTGGACGTCAACGTCCTGGCTCAGGACGACGCGGAGATGTCGTCCCTGCTGGTCGCGCGCCACATCCACGGGGGCTTGCGGTCCCTGCGCCGAAAGGCGGCAAAGGGGGCGGCCGGCCATGCCATGGCGGCCACCGCCCTCCCATCGGAGGAGGTCTGCGGGGTGGAGCGGCGAGGGGAATGGAGATCGGCGGCACCGCAGGCTCGGAATGGACCGAGCCGCCAGGAGCAGCCCAGGACATCTGGGGCGCTCACACGCTGCTACAACTGTGGCCTGCAAGGCCACGTTGCGTCAGGATGCCGGGCTCCCCGTCAGCGCGGGGCGACACCTCGTCAGGACGCCACGCCGTCTCCTCCCAAGCTCCAGCAGAGAAATACGGCGAGTCGCGGCACCTCACACGTTTGGCCCACGCACACATCCGACACACACTCACGCGCTCAACTAAACAGGGCTCCAAATTCCCCGTCCGTCGCGCGCGATTGTTCGGTAATGCGGCGAGCGCTCCAACCGGGTCAGTGGTCGGAGCTCGCCCATCGTGTCGTTGCTGCGTCGGCGGGATCATCGGTCGTGGTCGGTCACATTGATGGGGTAGAGGTGCGGATTTTAATTGACACAGGGGCATCGGCGACCATTATATCTGATTTGATTTATAACATCCTTCCCGTTCAAAGTCGTCCCTTGCTCCCTGTTGACGTGCCGTGCTATGCCGCTAACGGGGGCTCGCTGGGCATTATTGGCCAAATCCGCGCCACTATCTGCATTGGAGACATTAAATTATCCGGGCCTGTTTTGGTTTCCTCCTCACTCGCGGTTCCGTGCCTGTTGGGGACGGATTTTCTGGCCAAAATGCCCATCCGTATCCTGATTGACCAAGGGTGCATTGAG